AAAAAAATAGTAATAATATTTAAACAATTAATCTAAATACTCCAAAGTCTTCAATTAATTTAAGTACCTGCTTTTAAAAAAATGGTTTCTCTACATATATATATATGAAAAATAATTTATCAATAATTTTTATTAATAATACAATTTTATAACATAATGTGATATAAAGTGGGTTGTGTAAATTGATATTCATTTACTTATTTAATTTTATGTAAATATTGTAAAATTGTATACAATAATAAATTTTCATTATTAAAAAATCACCACAGAATATATATTCAATCAAAACCTATAACTAAAAAATAAAATCCAACCACCGACTTAAATAACTCAGTTGATCATTTTTTTTTCACTAAAAGTAAGAGATTCTGAGTTGAAGTCATATGGCATGCAGATGGAATGTAATAAGGGATAAGAGATTATTACTTCCTATTACACAATAAAAATAAAGATAAAAATAAAATAAAACAAAATCCAAGAATTATACACTATTCCCTTTCTAAACCCTCTTACACATTTTAAATCTCATTTTAAATTTTTAGAATTCAAACTTAAAATTTCTTAAACTATTAACTATTCAAATAATCCTCAAAGAACATAATAATAAGTCATGAATTATTAATTAATTATTTAAAATTATTACTTATTAGTTATCTACTAAATTAACAGTTAAACCGAACCGAGTCTAAAATTTGTTTATAATAACAGTATTTGTTTATTTCGTTACATTTACGCGTTTACAAGACGTACTTAGAAAGCACCAAAAATAACACACTGTGGAATTTGTTTTAGTCACGCAGCTGCCCGACAGCAATATCTCCGGGCAGTACGGGCAGAAGTGTAGAACCAACTTGCAGGAAAAGCCGGTTCTGCACTACTGCATTGCTATATATATACACGTATTCAAGGCAGCATTATATGCCGCCTCAGTCATTGTTGTAGCTTTCAATCTTCTCTTCTACTCCCTTCAATGGCTTCCGTCCCTCATTTCTATTCCGGCTATCCCTTTTCCGATGAATTTTCCAATTTTCCAAACACCCTTCAGCTCGTGCAAGAAAATTACGGTGGTTCATGGGGTGAGGAGAATCTTCCGTTGTTCTTGGATAATGGAGGGTTTGATGTTCTTCAAGCACCGAAATATAATGTCACGTCCCCGGTCCCTGCAACACTGGTGCCGGAGATAATTGGAATGTCAGACTTGGCTGTTCCTGTTGCATTACCTGACAATAACATTGTTGACCGTCGCCTCTGCGGTGACATTGGTGGTATTCCGAATACTGTTGTCAGTACATACCCGTTATCACCTGAATCAATGGAGTTTGGAGAGGAATGCCAAGGTTTCTTACAAGATTTCAAGCCAGTTCATGATCGTCCAGTTTCTTCAGAAACTTGGGGGGTATATAGATTCCTTTTCAAACTTTTATCTATGTCACTAATTCGAAACCTTTTCATCTGAAAGATTAAGCTATACGATAATTAATCTAGCTATACGATAATTAATCTAGCTATAGGATTAATTTAGGTATTTCTTGTTTGTTTGTTTTACAGGGAATTGATTATAAGTGCAATCGAGTTCCAGTTATTGAAGATAACAGTCTAAAGATTGGTCGTTACTCAGTAGAAGAAAGGAAGGATAGAATTCTGAGATACTTGAAGAAAAGAAACCAAAGGAACTTTAATAAGACTATTAAGGTATCTTAATTTTCTTTTCCAAAACAATTCAACATTTTGATTTAAGTTAGAGTACATATATATTTTTATAAGTTGCAGAATCTGATTGTGCATGCTATGCTATATGTAGTATGCCTGCCGCAAAACCCTTGCTGATCGGAGAGTTAGAATCCGGGGAAGATTTGCGAGGAACGCTGAGCTATGTGAAGGAGAAATGGTAATGAAGAAGGAAGGCCACACTCAACACAATGAGAAAGATTTATGCTATGGTACTAATGTTGTCCAGGTATGCTGTATACATTTATATATGTCCCAATATTGAAACATGATGCAAATTTAAATCCCATATCTAAAGCAACCATAATGATTTCGTTTTGTGGTTTCATTGCCCTTGTAGATGAAAGAGGATGAGGAAGACTGCTGGCTCCAAGAGGCTATGGCGAATCTCATGTATTTGCCTTATATATCTGGGTGATAGAGAGAACATTAGCATACTAATGTAGTTAATTAAGACTATTTGTCCTATAATTAAGACTATTGTGTTTTTCACAAATGAGAGGAATTTGATCCATAGAAATTTCTGTGTTTTTTAAATTACTGAATGATACGTTCTGATAGTTTGATGAAGTTACTCAAATTTTTAGAGGGGCAATGAAGAACAAGACAAGAGAGTTACAAAAATTCACTTCTTTTTTTCATCACCTAGCTCCTTAGTTTGATAAGGAAATGAAATTGACCTTTGGCGGACTGTTGGACTTATAAGGACTAATATAATATTGAGATTCTTCATCACTTTCGGTGAAAATCCAACAGATTGATACTAATTGAACTCATTATTAAGATACAACTCATTACCTCTATTTAGATAATGAATTCTTTTATCCTTAAAGTGTTTTATCTAATGATTTTTTTAGAAAATTAAACATTTTTTAGTTGGAAGAATAATTAAGGATGTTCTTGATGTACCAATATAAGCAAACTATCTTGTTAATAATTTAAGTAGTTTGAGTAATAATTTTTTTTTTATTTCTTTTATGTGAAAGCAATTATTTTTTTTATGAAAAAGTAAGAGATTTAAACTTTTAACAATATAAAAAATAAAAGTGAGTTAAAAAGATATGAAAATAAAAATAAAATAAAAATAAAATAAAAAATTAGCAAAATATGTTTGAACATTATTTTACGCTAAGTGGTCAAAGAATTTTATACATGATTGTGCTAATGATAATCATGGATGGAAATAGGAGAATCCCTCGGAGGATTTTTGAAGGAAATATATGGGAATATTTTGACTAGTCTTTGCTTTGTACGAGAGAGGTGGTTCTCTTCATAACAGCTAATTCCTTTCAATCAACTTTATTTGATGCCCAAATCAGTTTTTTGCCTTCAAAAAATCTTCCGTCTTTGCTTAACTTCTCAGTCTCATGTATATGTCCCTCCCGTGTGGTTCTAATTCTTTATCTTTCTTTTCACATGAGCCGCCGCAACATGTCTCCTTTCTTCATCTGTTTTCCTTGTGCCGAGGATATAACTTTCTTCATATCGAATCCGGCACTTATATCTCTGCCATCTGATTTTGTCCTTGGAAACTTGTTATTCGTTCTAATCCAATCAAACTTGTAAAATTCATAAAAAAGTATCAATTAATTGAGCACTTACATCTCTGCTGTCAAACTTGTTATTCTTTTTTTTTTTTTTTTTTTTTTGTGTGTATACATATGAACATGATCCTTGCCTTCTGCTGCAAGTGCTCGTGGATTAGACAGATTGTAAGTGCCTGTGAAATATAGGATGCAAGGGATTAGTTTGGTTGCCTTTTTTAGTTCCAAATAAGTCAAATGGGTTTGATTTGAGTTTTTTGGTGCGCAATTAGTTCGCCGATTTTGGAGAAAAACTAAGACTGAGGATCCAAGGCCAGCAAAGTCAAACAAGGAAGAGAAGAAAGCAATAGCCAAAAAGGATGATATCCTGATCTTTGTACGAGGCTAAAAATGGTCAAGAATTTAGGTGAATTTTCAATTTTTCACTAGCAACATCGTCAAGTCGATCTCTGCCTGCAGAGTCAACATGAACATGAGTAAGCATATGTGATTTGTTTGCAATCAGGTCCTCAAAGGGATAAGCAAATAATGGGTGTCCCAAGCATCCACTCTTACAGTCGTCAGAAAGCACTATCCTTCCTCGCAATGTGGTCCCATATATTTGATTCTTTGTTGCTCAAATGTGGGAGATTTTTCACACTACCATTTTGGACTCAACGCAATAGAAGATTATGTGGGTGAGTTTAAAAGTCAAGTAAGATCAACAGAATGCACTAAAGTTTCAATCAGAGAAGATCTTTTGTCTATCAAGACAATGTGGAAACTTTCATCTTCTTTTCTGTGCCAATTTTCATGTAGACTTCTTTTCTCTCCTTTCTTTTCTTGGCCGATATTATTAACTTCGAATAGTGGCTATATCCCTCCAAATGAACTCATTTTTCAATCCAATTTGTGAATTTAATTATTCCTTTTATAGCAGTTGTTTCCCCTTGGCAAATTGTAGTGCGAAATTGGGTGTTATAATATTTTATAAGGGATGCCTTAACAGTTAAAACATAATACTTCTAAGTTACAAGTTTTATATTCAAATTTTAAAATAATTTGTAAGATAGATTTGAAAAAGATGGCTCCTTATTGTATAACATAAATTAGGAGCCTTTTTTTTTTTCCTTTTTTGCCACATTTGCCTATTGGATGTATTTGGAAAGTACATTTTGAGTTCAAGTCACTTTCTAACGATCAAACTAGACTTGGTCTAGTTGGTCCAAGTTAGTTGAGCTCAAGCAGAACTTGTAGCTGTCTGGTTTTTATACCAACAAAGATCAAACTATATAGCTATATAAGTTGTTGCACACCACACCATAATGTGGTGGCTCCTGTCTAGTCTTTTTCTCTTATGATAGTGAATGGCCAGCTTCCCCCACCACCTACGAAAATGTTCCAAGGACTCCCTATACTTAGCAGCAAGAGTGAAGTCCTTTTCAATACAGCAAGAAGGGTTTACAGTATTCATAAACGTATCA